ACACAGAACCAGAACCACAGAGCGACCCGACACACAGAACCAGAACCACAGAGCGACCCGACACACAGAACCAGAACCACAGAGCGACCCGACACACAGAACCAGAACTTTACTTTATGAACTTTTTCTTGTCTTCACCTGTTAGAATGAGGTTCTGGTTCTGGTTCTGGTTCTGACCCTAAACACAAGTTCTGTCTCCACTGAACAGACACAGAACCAAGCCAGAACCTGACCCAGAAGTGTTCTGCAGGTTCTGGGTGGAGCTGGGCTCTGATCAGGTTTGGACTTGTAGAACCGGACCTCCAGAACCAGGAGGCACCATTGGTCTGATCTGGACCAGAACCAGAGCTGGTCCGGATCAGAGATGCAGGTGCACGAAGCGCGGTCACGTGATGTTTGTGCGTCTGTTGTCACATCACATGCACGCGCACACACATTCTGAACATCAAGCCGCACGTGTCACGTGACTGTTCAGGTTCCGGTACCTGGACCCGGTACTGCAGACTCCGGTTCCGAACGCCTCTCAGAAACGAACCCGGGGTTCCGGTCCGGTCTGAGGAACCAAACAGGACCGGGTTCTGGTTCCTCTGCGCTGCAGCTGAGTCCTGCAGAACCGGACCTCATGGACCCACCTGGTCTGCGGCAGGTCCGCCTCGTTTTCCGTGGTCCCGGTTCGGTTCGGTTCGGTTCGGCCTGGTCCGGAGTGAAGTCTCAGCTGGTCCGATCGACAGCCTCGCCCTTCATCCTCCTCCTCTTCATCCCGCAGCATCAGCACCGCCAGGCGCGCTCACGACACCGCCGTGCAGCGAACACGCCCATGCGCGCGTCCAGCAGCTTCCGCTTCAGAGCCTCAGGTGAAGATTTACCTGCAGAAGGGGCGGAGCTCTGACGTCACCGTATGAAAGAAACAAGAAGAGCGTGCAGGTTCTGAAAGGTCAAAGATCACCTGGACCTCAGGTTCTGTTCGGGTCAGCCCGGGAGGAGGTGTGGCCTCGAATCAGGCCGGCCAATCAGAGCGATCTGAGTTCATGACGTCATCAACAGCTGATTAAACAAAGACAGGAAGAACCTGGCAGGTTTTATTGATCATGTTTGTTTACAGCACGTGATGAGTAAACAACAACAACAACAACAAGTTCTCCTTCAAAATAAAAGCTCTCAAACATCTGGATCAGAACCTGAGCTGCACCTGTTCAGGTGACAGGAAGTTCCTACCTGTTACAGGTTGTTGGCTCAGAGCCGCCCTACACCTGCTGTGTAGTGTGGAGTCAACGTGCACACAGAGTGTGTGTGTGTGTGTCTGTGTGTTGTGTGTGTGTGTGTGTCTGTGTGTGTGTGTCTGTGTGTGTCTGTGTGTGTGTGTCTGTGTGT